CTGCGTGGGAAGCGTAAGGAGAAGTATATCAATGGAGAAGCAACACAACCTTCGCATAATGATCCCAAATTTGATACCTGGTTCGCTGAAAATAATCAGGTGATGTCTTGGTTGTGCAATTCAATGACTCTCGAAATCAGTGAAGGATACCTTCTTGCAAGTACAGCCAAGGAAATCTGGGATGCTGCTAAGCGGACCTACTCTACCCTCGATAACACTGCAGCCTTATTAGATCTAAAGAGGCAGCTCAAAGATCTGAAACAAGGCAACTTAACTGTGACTCAATACTACAGTACGTTGACAAAGATATGGCAGCAATTGGACCTCTTTGAAGTACATCCTTGGAAGGATATGGATGATGCTAATTACTACAGACAATTGGTGGAAAGAGGACGAACATATGACTTCTGTTGGGCCTGAATGATGTTTTTGAAGAAGTGAGAGGGAGAATTATGGGACTGAAGCCGCTGCCATCCCTATTTGAAGTCTTCAGTATGGTTAAGTTCGAAGAAAGCCGAAGACACCTCACTCAAGGCAGCCTGACCGCAGCAGAGGGCTCGGCATTGGTGACGAGGGGGTTCCAGACATCAGAGGGCCCTGAGAAGAAAGGGAACAAGTGGTGCAACCACTGTAACAAGAGAGGCCACACCAGAGATGAATGCTGGAAACTACATGGGAAACCAACTCAAGGGAAACAGAAACAACGGGAAGATAGAAGGAGCCACCACACCTCCTCTGAAGAAAAAGGTGATGATGGAGACCAATTGACCAGAGAAGAGCTTCAAATGCTTCGTAAGATACTTGAAAAACAAAACAAATCAAAATCTGTTCCCAACGTGAACTTGATACAGTCAGGTAATTCCATTATAGCCCTCAATGCAATGATAACTAGTGATGAGACTTGGATTGTTGACTCCGGTGCTACAGATCACATGACTGGTAATAAGTCCTTCTTCAAAACCCTCAAATATTGCCATGAGAACCTTAGAGTAAAAGTGGCAACTGGACTGTATACTAAAGTTGAGGGTGTTGGCAGTGTGGCTCTATCTGAAGATCTGGAAATCCATAATGTTTTGTTTGTCCCTGCTCTTACTTGCAATCTTATTTCTGTGAGCAAATTAACTAAAGGGAAAGCATGTCGGGTGATATTTGATGATGTTAAATGTGTTTTTCAGGATTCGACCTCGGGGAGGAAGATTTTGACTGCTAAAGAATGGGATGGACTCTACTACTTTGAAGGAAAGGATATGAAGACAGCAGGAGCAAAGAAAGCTATGGTTAGCTCCAACTCTCAGAATAAAAATGTAATGTTGTGGCATCAAAGATTAGGCCACCCCAGCTTTGATTATATGAAGCATGTGTTTCCAACTTTATTCAATAAAAATTCTTCTCCTTTCCAATGTGAAACGTGTCAAATTGCTAAACAAACTCGCGCCTCTTATCCCAAACATACTTACAAACCTTCTACCCCGTTCACAATGATCCATACCGACATTTGGGGACCAGCCAAAACCAACACCCGAACAGGCACAAAGTGGTTTATCACATTCATAGATGATCACACCCGGGTCACATGGGTTTACCTTATGAAAGAGAAATCCGAAGCCCTACAAATTTTCAAAAACTTTTACTCGTTTGTGAGAACCCAATTCCAAACTACCATCAAAGTCCTGAGAAGTGACAATGCCAAAGAGTATGTGAGTGGAGCCTTTAGGGAATTTCTTGAGCAGGAGGGAATCCATCACCAAACCTCATGTGTTTATACTCCTCAACAAAATGGAGTTGCTGAGCGAAAGAATAGACACCTTTTGGAAGTGACCCGAGCTATTATGATGGAAAGAAATGTTCCAAATCTGTTTTGGGGAGATGCTGTACTAACCGCAGCCTATCTTATCAACCGCATGGCCTCTAAAATTCTCCACTTTAGTACCCCTATTCAAAAGCTCCTCGAGACTTACCCCACTTCACCTATCATCAATACCATCCCTCAAAAGGTCTTTGGGTGTGTCGTCTTTGTCCATAAACATGATGGAGGCAAACTAGGTGCTAGAGCAGAAAAATGCATTTTCCTCGGGTATTCCTCCACCAAAAAGGGGTACAAGTGTTATTGTCCCACCACCAGAAAACTTATAATCTCCAAAGACACAGTCTTTTATGAGGATGATGCTTACTATCCCAAATTACCCATTCAGGGGGAGCACTATGGAGTAGAATGGCTAATTACATCCGAACCTATAACCATACCGCCTCAAGACAACATCCCTGAACCGGAAACGGAACCAAAAACCCCTACTACTACACCTTCTCCAGAACACCAAAACTCCACAAACATCCCTCACCCAATGGAAACCAATGCTGAAATTGATGCAGGGGTGACAGAGCACTCAAGTCCTCAATCAGGTGAACAGGACAGTAGTAGTAGGGTTCCTTCCATTCCAAGGCAGCAACATGATTCCAATCCGGAGTTGGATCCTGAAGAACTGGGATGGCCTATTGCACTTAGAAAGGGGGTAAGATCGTGTACTCAACATCCTATTCAAAAATTTGTCTCCTATGGCAATTTATCTGCGAGAATGCAAACTTTTGTAGTGAATAGCTCACAGGTGAAAATTCCAGAAACATTTCAACAGGCTGTAACAGATCCTAATTGGAAACATGCTGCATATGAGGAGTTGAGAGCCTTGAAGGAGAATAACACGTGGGATATCACCACACTTCCTAAAGGCAAGAAAGCAGTGGGTTGCAGGTGGATCTTCACCCCTAAATTCAATCCTGATGGCAGCATCAACAAGTACAAAGGAAGATTAGTTGCCAAAGGGTACACCCAAACCTATGGGATTGATTATCAAGAAACGTTTGCTCCTGTGGCAAAATTCAACACCATCCAGGTACTCCTGTCCCTAGCTGCCAACCTTGATTGGCCCCTACATCAACTAGATGTGAAGAATGCTTTCCTAAATGGAGATTTGGAGGAGGAAGTGTACATGGAAATTCCAGATGGAGTAATAGCTCCGCCCAACTCAGTTTGCAAATTGAAGAAATCATTATATGGCCTGAAACAATCTCCACGAGCATGGTTCGACAGGTTTGCCAAAGCGATCAAAAGGTTTGGCTACATTCAAGGACAAGCTGATCACACTCTTTTCGTCAAACACAGTGATGGAAAGGTAACGATCCTAATTGTGTATGTGGATGATATAGTCATAACTGGCAGTGATGAGGTTTCTATCTCCCACCTCAAGAAGGCCCTGGCTAGGGAATTCCAAGTGAAGGATCTAGGCCAAATGAAGTACTTTCTTGGAATGGAGGTTGCTAGATCCAAAAAGGGTATAAGTGTGTCTCAACGAAAGTACACACTGGACTTACTCCACGAAACAGGAATACTTGGGGCTAAACCTAGTGAGACTCCTATGGAAGAGTCATGCAATCTGGAAGTGAAACCAAAAGGGACACCAGTTAACTCAGAAAGGTACAGAAGACTTGTGGGCAAACTAATCTACTTGACTCATACAAGGCCTGACATTAGTTATGCAGTTGGAGTGGTAAGCCAATTTATGCATCAACCCCAGGAAGAACACATGGAAGCAGTATACAGAATCCTCACCTACCTCAAACTCAACCCTGGAAGAGGACTATTCTTTAAAAGGGGGAGTACAAGGAGCATCGAGGTCTACACTGATGCAGATCATGGGAGAGCTGTGGATAACAGAAGATCTGTCACAGGATACTGTACTTATGTTTGGGGAAACTTAGTCACTTGGCGAAGCAAGAAACAGACAGTAGTCTCAAGAAGCAGTGCTGAGGCTGAGCTAAGAGCTGTAGCCCTGGGGGTATGTGAAGGAATGTGGGTGATTAGACTTCTGAAGGAATTGAGAATCTCCTATGAAGGACCTATGAATCTCTGGTGTGACAATCAAGCCAGCATTGAAATGACCAAAAATCCTGTGTATCACGACCGAACAAAGCATGTTGACATTGATCGGCACTTCATCAAAGAAAAGGTCGAGGATGGCATCATTAACTTGAACTATGTGCGTTCAACTGATCAGATTGCTGACATCATGACCAAACCGTTAGCCAGAGTCAAGTTTGAAGGGCTTCGAAGCAAGCTGGGAATGGTTGACATCTACTCTCCAGCTTGAGGGGGAGTGTTAGAAGCCCTTGATTCTCTCCCTGATTCTCTCCCTTTATTATCTCCATTATTTACCCATGATTCTAGCTAGACAATGAATTCCTGATTACTTGTGATATTGCAATATCTTTCATTTATTACTGATTGATTGTAACCGGTAGTATGAGACTCTATATATTGTACCCACATCATATGAAATAATATGGAAGAGTGAATTTTCAATACTCTTCAAACATGAACATATTTCTACTATGCTACAAAAGGCATCTGTCTATTTCAAATTACACTCTTTGAGGTCATTAACTCAATGTAACACCTACAATCATCATCTCAACGTAGCACAACAATAAAATGAGCCCAGATATATCACAGGCCTTCCCTCTATAGCTCTATATATCAAAACCAATGAGAGAAGAAAATATTTTCAGGGAGACGCATCAGAGGCTTTGCCTCTGTTTCTCTATCTATCAATACGCCGTCCTGTTTTCTCTAAACAATATGTCCATTTTATTTTCTTGGACAATCGAGAGCTCATTGCGAGAAAAGAGGACAGCACCATTTTCACTTTAATTTGCCAAAAACAAGCAATTGCATAGAACATGTTGCCAGCAATCTGGTAAATATCTAAAACCTTTAGAATCTTATAGCACGACAACAAGTGCACCATATTAAAAAATTCCTACATCAATACTGGCATTGAAAAGGAAACCTATTCTAATTGCTTCATATCAAACGAGTAAATCAAATCTGCACACCTTATCACTTACAGCACCCCATAGACGCGGTATACTCTAACATTAAGCCAAAAGGAAATTCAAGGCAAGAAATTCTTGACAATGATAATAAGATATACTGAAATGAGCTATACCTTAACTGAGGCACTGTGAAGAAGTTGAAGTGATGGAAGTCCACGATGTGATGCCTCTAAAGTTGAAGGAATATATAAGGGACAAAAGGGCATTTTCCAATATAAATGTGAACAAATAATAGTAGAAGACTTTGTTTACCATGACGAATATCAATCAGTGTGCGTGGAATACCAATTTCCTCAGCTGCCACAGCTATGGACTTCTCTTCTTTTTTACGCGTCTTTTCAATAACACCATTGACAAGCCTTAAGCAAACAAGGTAGTGAATTAAAGGGTCACATACAACACAAGTGCTTGGTGATACTTTTCCCAAAAGAACACAGCTGCTCATGCTAAAAGATACAACAGGAAATGATGGCTGAAAAAAAGCCCAGATCTGAGAATTCTAAATTTCCTAGCATCCCAAAACTTCTTGGAAGGGCCCCAAAATATCTTCTACAATAGTCTCCATTAACCACACAATCATGACCCGTGATCTTGAGCCATATTAACTCATTAATTAATTTTTCAAAACAGTGAAAGTACAAATAGATTACTGAAAACTTGTAAATCACTTGATCTTGTATATTGTACCAGTGCTATGGATGTAATTCTAAGAGCTATAAAGAAATATTTCATGTCAAAAAATAGGCCAAAAAAGTTGAAAGAAAACCTCACCTAATGATTGTCATGCAATACAAATGAGCAAGCATCTTCTCTGAAAGGGAATGAGAATTATCATTACACTGATCATCATCCACCCTACAAAAACCAAAGTTCATAAAAGATATATCATTTTTGACATTCCAGCACAAAAGAAAACTTTGCAGCAGAGACAAGGAAAAAACATCAAACGTCTATAGCTTACGAGAGGCTAGGCTCTCCACTACCAAAATCACAAGCTAAAAATCTCTCTCCCATCCCCTGGTACATAACTGAATGTCCCCTTCACTCTATCTTTCAAATCCTCTGCTGCCAGTCCCTGTCAGTTACACCACATCAAGTCCCATTACAGCTCTTGTTGGACCTGCCATCCTATCTTCCTACAATATACCCAGGCCTACTCCCATCATTATGTTGAAACAATTACAATAAGTAAATACTCCCGCCAGACCTCTTTATAAGACACAAATAACTAAATCACACAGACCATAAAATATAGTTAAAGCCAATAAATATGTTTAAATTTAATTTTTCCCAAAGCCACCATATTGCCTGTTTGACATGGTTGCTATGCATCAGGGTAGAAGATGAAATTTTCAATAAATGCACAAGGGCAGAGGTAGTTGTTTCATATATTTAGGCCAAAGAGTTTCCCTCAACTGTTTCTTCTAAAGAGGTCAGAGGGAGTAAACTTGTGAAAATCAGAATAGAAAATCTACCTAAAATAGGGATCCATCTGTTGAATTTCAATGATGGAAGCAGTAGCCTCAATCGCAGCTGGTAAACATCCTCGACTTTCCCATGCCGATATCTGAAGGCAAATAAGTCTTTCATCAGCTTAATCCCCCTGTATCATACAGAAAAGGCTTGCAAATAATCAGAACAAAATCTTACTCTTTTGAGAGCAAAAGCAATGGAATCTGGGGAATCTGAGAATAGAGAATCTTTAACCAAAACCCATTCATCCCAGTTCAACCACGGCACCAATCTGAGTGCATATGACGAATTTTGCTCCTCACATATTTCATTTAAGTCTAAAAACGACTCCATCAGAGACTTGATCAACAATCCTGAAGGAGCAAGCTTCAAATCACTGTAGGGGAGAGTGTGAATTTAAAATATAAAATTGAAGCAGAAAACTTGAATAACAGGTGCAGCAAAAGGGAGGAGGGAGGTGAGTAGCCAAGGTACAATGCTTGAATCCAGTTGTAGAGTGTAGTAAGAGGCAGTAGCAGCTTTAGAGAAGACCGTAGATTTCAATGCCCTCTCATCTCAAATCTGAAAATATTTACAAGTGTGTTTAATTTCTTTAAAATATTTTATTTTTATTTCATAAAATGTATTTTATATTTTTAAATTTCTGTAGGAACATCCTATCTGATATTTTAGGATAAAATATATTCCATCTTTGTTTTCAATCGATTTTTTATATAAACAAAGATCTTATCTCACTTTTAACTTCAATTATCAATAACAGCTATATTACTATGACGTGTAAATATATAATTATCTCTACTAAATTACAAAAATGTCATTGATGTGAAAGCATTCCTTTCAACCATGATAACACATTCTAGCATTCTGACGGTATATATGCTGTAGTATACAGGGGGACATGCATGGGCTCTGTATGTGGTACGCTGCACACACGGCTTATATACTATATACTGCTCTACGCAACCCCCACACGCATCCTGACTGGAATACTTATATACATGTCTGCGTGCGCGCGCGCGTATAAATGAACAAGAGCCATTAGCTGTAAATACTAACAAAACGTAGATAAATTCATGATGCTGAGCATAAAGAAATGAGACAAGGTTTTATGCAGCCTTAAAATTTACTACATCGAAGTATGTTGGGGAGAAACCCCCCAAATAACCCAAGTATTGGCTTTGGCTAACTGTATCTGTACTTATCTCAAGGCATATCAGGGAAGGACCTAAGTATTGGATTGCATTTATACCACCTCTGGCCTTTAGTCACAAATAAAGCCACAGCTGAACTAGATTCCAGGGAGAAGAGACTTAGAAAGTGTTACTGAAAGCAATGGACAGCATTGAAAGTGAAACAGGGAAGTACTTACGGATAAGAAATATGGAGGGATTGCGAACATACCTCCCAGAGAACGTCAGGACTGAGATGCTACGGTGAACGGTGGGTAGCTGGATGGCGGTGGACGGCCGAACGGCGGCGAGAGCAGAGCAACGGCGGCTGGCAGCGGCTGGCAGCGGCTGGTCTGTGATACGGGGATGCGGAAACGCGGGCAGTTGGGTTGAAGGGAAAGTATGGGCCAGGACATCAAAATTTAATTCGGCCTAATTTGTTGTCAATTTTTTTTTTTTTAATTTCACCGGGAAGCTACCATATTACCTTGACTCCTTCGTATAAAAACTAATTTAACATTTAATTTAATTTTCAATATAAAGTCTTAATTTATTTTATTTATCATATTTATTTATTTATTTAAGATAGTTTTTTTAATAATTCAATACGTTAAATTTTTTATCAAATGGCACTTCGAGCTAATACACATAATTAGTAACGGACAACGATATTATAGAAGAAACAACACCTATTTATTATAAATAACTATCTTAAATAATTTTGTTAATTTGTTCAAATTAGTCAACTAGCTCTTATATTAAGGACCGGATTTATGATTAAAATTAAAGTCAAACAAACTCTTATATTAAAGAACGGAAGTAGCGCATTTTATTTTTATTTTCACAGAATTTAAAAGTTTTTATAATGATTTTGAAAAATAAATGGACGAAAAGCATGTGTTTGTATTTGCATGCAGAGAATTTTTCCCATCTTGAAGATTGAAAGCTTTCCTACTTATTTTTAACAAATTCCTTTTTGACAAAACTGGAATTCGTCTCTCCTAATAAGACGTTTTTTCATATTCACATAGCGTGAGATCAAATTGATTGTTGACCATACACTTAAGAAATCTAGCTATCTGCCAATTGTGATAGACCTTGTCTGTAGTTTTATGGCTTTAATAATAAAATAAAGAAATACACTAATAAAAATTGGTTAGATCACAATGAACTTCAAATTCCACTAAAAATTGTGCCACATTTAGTTCCTCATCATCCCTCAAACAAAATTATCACTAATTTAAAAAAAATGGCAATTTTCATCAAAAGATCAGTCGCATTGCATATCATTTTTGTATACAGATCATGGAAAGATCCACTTGTGAATGTATGAAAACTTTACATGCCATGTAAATATGGATCCCTACTAAGCTCAAAATCTTCAACATTGTTATTGTTTTTAAACTGAGAAATTGGGTCAAGGCCTAATACAGCAGAAGATCCATGACATTATCTTGTTTCTCTTTTTCCCCTGCACAATCATAAACATTATATTCATCAATACTAAACCACGATAACCAATGTGTATTGGTTACAGCAGCGTTAGAAGGTTTGCTTTGTTGTGTTTTTAAATTCTAACTTATTTGGGGAAAAAAAATAAAGTATGCAAATCTTCATAGGTTTTTGTTATGAAATATTTCTACTGAAACAAATCTGATTCATCAACAATTTGAATCAATCATCAGTTTCCAAGGCCTTAGAAATATGCTACCTCAGGTCCTAATTATAAGATCTCGTTTGCAGACAACAGATAACATCTTATAATTAGGACCGGGTAATATGATATGCCTATAGAGATTCCACTCTTAACACATACACATGAATCGATCCAATATTGTGGGAGACAAGATTCAGGTTTGTCAAACTTTCTTTCCATCTAGTCCCTATTGCTCTATGGCTTCCAAATTGTTGATGAATCAAGAGTCCTTTGCGTATTAGATTGTGGCTTGGCCGAGATGAAAAGGAGTAACACTAATACAAAAGTTCTTTTCCCAGCGGTTTAAAAAGGGATTTCCATACCAATTCTGCAAGGCAGTGATGATACACAACAATATTGTGAACTCTTTATTCCATCTGACAAAATAACAAAACCCTAGTCTCCTTCTTACTTAAACCCCTAATCAAATCCACAAGAATTAGGTTCTACTCATAGATCATTGACTATACAGATTATCTGATGTCTCAAATGTCACTAATACTCATTGACCCAGAATCTCCACATACACATCAATCTCTCTTCGATTTTGATAACAGACCTAGCTAGATGTACACCCACACTAGCTGGCATATATTATCATGTAGCCCACACCAAGGATGTCTTCTAAGAGAGAAACCATTGAAAATGTAGAGGAAACCAAGAAAACAAGAAAAGGCATAGGAGACCTTAAAGAACATACTATTCACAGAATCATGAACAGTATGACTCGTTCAATTGTGTAATGCACAAGAACTTACCTAATCCTAATGATGTCATAGTGTTTCATCATTAGAACGGCAATATTCTACCTAGCTATGATCCATGAGTTGACTAAAGGGGGCATGGATCAAAGTTGTAACGAGCAATGATATGATTAACATATGAAGATCCAAACTATTTGGAACTTCTTGATATGTTAATATAATTAACATATGAAGATGATGATAATGATGCAATGAACAAAGAAACACAACAGATGAATAAAATAGAAGGTCATCAGCAAGAGAAATGGGGTCTCACCATTGGATTAGGAGGAGTGGTTGCAGAAGCATAAGGTGGTTCTTCTTCTGGTTTACCATGACGATCATGCCTCTTGTGGTGGTGGTGGTGGTGGTGGTGGTGATGAGCTTGGTTTTTGGGAAGGTTATTATTGTCATGATGAAGATGATGATGATCTTGGAGTTGATGAGTTTGACGCTTGACCTCAGATAAGTCAGTCTTTTGATGTTGTCGATCAGCTCGAGCCTTTGAAAACACCACTGTGTACCCTGAACTCACATCTGCCCCACCGTTTTGATCCCACCCCCCAAACTGTGGCACTGACATTCGAGGCCGCCCTTTCTTCTGCATCCTCACATTAAAACCATACATTTGTTAGTACGTATATACATCACCATTATATTGTTATTTTCTTTTGAGCATGCATGTAGGTATATTTCAAAAAGAAAGAAAGAAAGAAAGATGTAAATTTGACAGCAATAACCTTAAACTCTAAACTCTAAACTCTAAAACCTGTTTCTATACTAATTTATTCCTTATATGTAGCATTGTATTGTACAATCAATATAATAGGCTAATATATATCATGGGGTCCGCCCGCATGACAAGTGGGGTGCGCTCCCTGGTCTGCATTGTGACCCCATCAACTGCTCATTTCGGTCCAAAATATAAGATGTTGTTAATCAATTCTCGCGAATCAAAACATATTAGTTAAGTCATTAAATATATTTTAAATTGAAAACTAATAGAATTACTTTTTAAATATGCTTTTATTATCTGTCAATTCTCCTCTCTTTTCTGCATTTAAAACTCTTTTTTCTCCTTGTAATAAAAGGTAAAAGTAAAAAATTATCATTAATTATCCTGTCAATCTCTTATATTTCGGACTAGAATTTCCTTTCAAAAGACTTCGTATACTTTGGACTCCAGAGAGTATATGACATACATATATTTGTATGCTAAAAGTTTAATGGTTTCATCTTGACATTGACTGCACCGGTTGGTACCCCCTTTATTTATCAACTCACCAACCAGTACAAAGTCAAGATTTCTATATACATTTCATCGTCTTAATTAGATAGCTTTGGGATATATCCAATTAATTTAGAGATCCCATAATGTTCACAATATTATGCCAAATGGCAATCACATGTTGTGATATGGTGACAGCATGAAAGTGGACAGATATATCTCGCTGCATCAACAAAACTTTCGGTTAGAAGTTGAAAAATATTGACTAATAGGAAAAAGTAATACACATTTATAATACCTAAGTGTTTGCAAAATGGAAAGTTGCAAATCTCTTGGTACATACATGTTAATATTGCTTGTAGCTATAGGTACCCCCAAAATCCTTTTGCTGCATAAGGCCCGGAAGAGTAATTTTTCCGTACAAAATAATCAATTTTCACATCCAGTTTTACTAATAAAAAATAATAGTCTTCTGGTCTTTAATGTGGGAGTTAATATTGATCCTATATATAAAACATATTTAATATATTTATCAATTTTTTTCAAATTAACCATATTGATATTCCCCAACAATAATCAAGTAGGAAAGAAGATGGAATTAAGAAAGATGATTAAGGTGTTTTAAAAAAAACATATCATATTAACTAATGTAACCAGCGTCCTCAATCTATTCAAATTAGTTAATTAAGTTCTACATTAAGAAGCGGAAGAGTAATATATATATATATATATATATGGAACGGGAAAAGTTCAATCAACTATGATATTTTCATGAACAATTTAAATTATTCAAATCAGGTGTAAACAATTTGAAAATGATAGATATGGTGTAAACCAAATCAGATTCAATTCTCTGGTTGGCTTAGACACCTCGACAGTTAATTATTTAGTTTCTCATGTATAAATCTATAGGGGCTTACCTGTACCTCTGTATATTCCATGCCAAAATAGAAGAGATAGAAGAAGCCAGCCGAACGTTTTGTTCAGCTGGAAACTTCTATCTCAGCAAATATGTGAGATTGAAAGGGGTGAGAATTTGATTATCATGGTGTTCTCTTTAAGCCTTAGGGTACTTATTAATTGTGTGGGGACCTTTCAACTTGCTCTTTTTCCTCATTATATGATAATGTCCCATCTTGAAGGTGGAGACAAGGCCATGCTATTTTTAGGGTTTTATTTGTATTTGTTAGAACAATTTGATGGACAAGAGTGAAAGTAGGGCACAAAATATGGCCAGCCACTTAACTACAATGCTTTTGTTAATAATTGGATTCAAATTTCCGATAACAGAAAATTTAGAGTTTTGTTAAATAAACATTATTAGATGACAGATTATTAATAAATATATTTACAAAAACTTATGTGAACCTGACAAGTTTGTCGGGTCGAGTCTTGAAATCATCTTTTGATACGAGTATTATTATGACTCATCTTTTAGTTGATTTAACAATTATTGGTATTGTTGAAAGAGTATAATAATATAATATAATATAATCTATGCAACCGAGATTTGTTATGGTGGTTATATTGTGTTAGTAGTACTCTTCCGGTTCTACATATAAGATCTTTATACGCACTAATATAAAGGTTTTATATTTAGAACCGGAAGAGTTAAATTTTGTTAAGCATCCATCATTGGAATATCAAATTCCAATTTATTTCGGGTACCAAATGTAAAAGATAAACCTCTTGCAGTTAGGCTTGTTACGTACACAAGTTAAAAACTAGATTCAAAAATTCTAATCATCCACCCCGATCCAAGTTAATGTTACTTGTTATCTTTATTTCAGTTAAAGATGATCTACTTTAGGACATAGGAGTCCCTATTAACAGAATTTTGCAAGTTTTAGCCCTAGCTTTTAGGGTTTAGGAATAATGATTGTGAAACCTTTTGATATATAAATAAAGGGTCTGTTTGGGTCAGTGTTTGTTGACCCAAAAGCACCTTAAATTATAATATAAGCTGGGTTGAGCAACAAGATCTGTTTAGGAGAGCTTAATTCTTATTGGGCTTATTTATTTTTTAAGCTACTGAACGCTCAATGGAAATAAGCTCCTGACAAGAGCTTATCAATTATTTGAGAAGAGCTTTTACCAAATTTTAGTCGTTGTGCGTGTCAGGAGCTTGTCAATTTTTTTTCCTCTCCCATCCAACTTTTTCCAGACTCACGAGCTTATCAATTTTTTTTCTCTTAGCCGTTGTGCATGTCAGGAGGTTATCAATATTATCTCAATTCTTTTTTTTATGTTTCAATTTATATTTAAAATATTTTTTATGATTTCTTTAAAATTTTAAAATTTAATTCACTCATTAAATTTGATTTCTTCATATTAAATTATTTTAATTTCATTATATTATGTGAAATCAGTTTTTTTTCATGTTTTATTATTTATTAAAAACCCATACCTATTTTGGTAATTTTTCAGTCAAACTTACTTTTACTCAACTATAATCCAAACAAGCTTTTACTAATTTTACTTTTGTAAACTAACTTTTCTGAACTCCAATCCAAATACAATTCAGCTTATCCAATTTAATTTTTACCAACTTCACTTTTCCATAAGCTATTTTTTTTATAAGCTGCTTTTCCAATCGCTGATCCAAACGGGCACAAAATATCAATAGGCGTATGGTAAAATTATCCATCAGCTCAAAATATTCACATATATATACCTGTTCGCTTCAAAACAAAAGTATTAGTAGGTGGTCAAGTGATGATAAGATGAGTCAGAAAATTTTGGATGGCACAAGGATTTCTTTCCTTGACAAATGAGATAAGTATTTAAATCAAGTATATGATTTCAAGTATTTTATATTTTTCTAACGTATTGTTACAGTTAAAATATGAGACATAAAAATCCCTAATTGAATTTTGTGTATTTTATGCAAAATTTTAATCTTTTAAACTGAGAGCTTTTTATTAGTTATCCCGTAAAAGATCATTCTTAAACATTGACTATAATCCCTTTGTTACATGAAATTTATGGAAATTACTATTATAATTGTCAAATATTAAATATGATGCATCTAATTCATATTTCAATAAACAGATACTACTTCTTATCCTTGATATAGGATTTTTATTTTAATCCTAAATATTAAACCCAATCCATTTTATTTATCATATTTATCTATTTTTTCTCAATGTAATAATAATAATATTTTAAAAAATAATATATATTTATTATAAATAACTAATTTAATTAATTTTTTTAATATTTTCAAATTATTTAACTAATAAACCTGTGTTTGCGTTTACTGAAGCCACCGACGTGGTGGCAGTTTAAAGGAATATGTGAGTTAAACAGATTACCCTCTTTACCCTCTTCGGAATTCGGAACAGCCTGGAAGAGCCCCAGTTCTCGGCAACACCGGTCGGCGAAAAGCATGGCGACGATCAGCCTCCGCAAAGGTAACACTCGGCTGCCGCCGGAGGTGAACCGTGTTCTCTACGTTCGGAACCTACCCTTCAATATCACCAGCGAGGAGATGTACGATATCTTCGGCAAGTACGGAGCGATTCGGCAGATTCGCATCGGCACCAACAAGGACACGCGTGGCACCGCCTTTGTTGTCTACGAGGACATATACGACGCCAAAACTGCCGTCGATCACCTCTCCGGCTTCAACGTCGCCAATCGTTACCTGATTGTGCTTTACTACCAGCAAGCGAAGATGGGTAAGAAGTTCGATCAGAAGAAGAAGGAGGAAGAGATTGCTAGGATGCAAGAGAAGTACGGGGTCTCCACCAAAGATAAGTAGTCTGATATACCGAATCCCTTATAGGAAATTCAAGGGTTTCTTTATATCTGTAGTTTGGTAGTTTGTGAATTTTCGGCTGGTGGGTGCCCTAATTGTTGTATTGGAGGGTGTATTAAACGTTCCATGATATGACGTTTGTGGAGATTGATATCTGATGCTTTTGCTTTTCTCTAGGAGTGTTTATATGGTGACTCTGCACTGTGCTGTATCATTTATACATGATTACATGCTTTAGATGCGTTAAACTCGTAAAAACTTTAGCATAAGTTTAAGGAGCATGGTGTTTGAAATATTTCCAAGGCCTTTTAGCTAAGAACATAATCCCAATATACCCAATAGATATCCGTGTGGTGGTTCTTGTCCTTGCTATTATCAGTAACTTGTTACCTGATAAAGCTAGATCCCCCACGAACCCTGTTTATTTGGATTAGTCAGGAAAAGTTTAATCTTTATTTTCTATACTAGGGTAAGCATCAAATTCGACGTAGTCAGGTTGCATATAGATGAACTGTTCAAGCTTAGAACATGATTACTTCATTCCAATTCAAACTTCATTTCTTTTTTCACTGCCTTTCCTACCCTACTTCTTGTTACTTCATGAGCCTAAAGATATACACATCGCCCCCTAAGTGCATCA